GACGGACAGACGGACGGACGGACGATGGATGGATCAATTAAATTAATCATAACCCTAACCAATATAAACAAGAGATCTGGTTACTTTTTCAGTGCCATCATGACTTTGAACAGCCACTAAGCAGAGCAGTTATTAAGTGAGGACTATCTATAAAGCCATCCATCCAGTTTATTTTAAACAATTTCAAACACACACACAAAAAAACATTTTAGGCGACTTACCATTGGTCGTGCATTGATAAGTAGAAGGTTTCCTCTTAGGAGCCTCCTATCACAGGAAGATGGTACTGAAATATAAAGAGTATAAAGGCAATGAGGAGACTAATTGCTCTGACAGATTTTAAAGACTAAGGCTGATATTTTTAAATTTTGAATTTTAAAGGAAGAAAATGTTGGTTTTCAAATGAAAACAGAAGGAACTGCTGATTTACAAAATTTTGTTTGGAACAGGCTTATTTTCATATTAAAATAGCTCAGGGGCCAATATTTCAAGAGTATTAAAGATTGTTGTTGCAATACGTTTACCTTTCCAAACCAAGACTTTAAAAGAATATAGCTTAGTTCATTTTGTAATAGCCACCTACAAAGCTTCCCCAAACAAAGCTAGATAAAGTTGTAAGAATCTCCCATGCCTACTTACAGGGAATCATGCTCACAAAGCAATAATTACATTAATCCCAATGGTACAGGAAATGGGATGTGGGAAAGGGGAGAGGGGAATAATATTTTTAATAGCATATAAATCTGAATGCAGGCAATGCTTAGAGAAAGGCTAACTTGACAGCTATCATCTTAAATTCCATGTTCGAATTAACAAAAAATCATTTTTATGTAGAGATATCTTTTTTATGATGAAAGAAATTGCAGACTGAATCCAGAGAGCACTCAGATACACACACATACACAAACACACACACAGGATCCCAAAACTGCCAATAAAATTCAGAATCAAAGACACTGATTGAGGAAAACAAAGCAAATAGCAGCCTCGCTCTCAAAAATGATATTGTGTTTATTTGTTTCTTCCATTTATAAGCAGTGTCTGTTCAAAGAGGAAAGCGGGTTTGACTACAAACAACAGCATAACAAAGTAGCAACAATGGTGCTTTGGAATATATCAAGAAATAGCATTTGTCTGCAAGAGAAGACTGGTGAGCCCCCAAAATAGGCAAGTCATAGAAAATGAAGAAGCTAAAATGCTCTGGGACTTTAGAATTCAAAAAGACAGGCACCTGTCATAAAACACCTCAGAGTTAATAATCACTGGTAAGAAAGACAAAAAGTCTGGATAGTGGAGATTGCAGCATATGGAAACAGCAGAGAAAAAATGGACAAAATAAAAAAAAATACAAAAACCTGCAAATAAACATAAAACAATTGTTGCCAAAGAAGGCAAAGATGATGCCACTAATAATAGGTGTCTTTGGTGCAATCCCCAAACATCTGGAGTTCCACTTGGATACTGTATTAGCATTGACAAAATCACCACAAATCAGTTTCAAAAGGCAGCTTTATTTGGGACAGCTTCCATCCTGTAATGAAGCCTTTAATAATATAAAACAACATCTGTTTAATCCAGGCCCTTTTGAAGAAATTGATAAGGTGGATAAAAATACAAAATCAGTCTAAACATCTGGCTGACTCTATAACTAACCGTAATATCTACAACAACATGGTCAATTCTATCAAGACAGGAAGTGAGGAACTATTTCACAGGGCAATTGTGGTTACAGATAGGTCTCCAAGGGCCCATAAGATGACATAACAACTAACAGGATAGAAAGACAAAACTTAACTGAATAGTCTGGCAGTTAGCTGAAGCAAATGTTTTATAGATTATACTTAACACTTTGAATTACCTTATCTAATGAATTGCTGGATAACACAACTACCTTCAGAAAAATGAAGCCCTCTGAAAGATTTCCTATCCCATGATTTCAGAAGGCAAAATATATATTTATATGTAATGTAGTATGTTATTGCAAGGTATATGTTGCTACATTATGTTATGATGTATGTTATGTAATATGTGATTGTAATATGTATAATGTTCTAATACTGCACTGAGTAATAAGGAAAGTGCTGAAAGCATAAAATATTTATACAATATATTTAATCCATGAAATAAATACTTGGGAGTAAAAACTATTCTCCAACGTATGTTTTCAAGAGATCCAGAAGTATGTCAGTGCCTTAACATGTAAGACCCATACTCTCATATCTATTTATCATAACTTTTTTAAAAAAAACTAAAATAGTTAGAAGCAATCCCAAGCAAATTTGTTAAATAATAAATCCAACTCAATTTCTCATTAAACTCAATCGTAGGAAAAAAAAATCCACTTAAAATGTAAATAGACTGACTTCAAAATATTTCTGAACATCAGTTGTAAAAGTATGTTTCCTGTTTATTTTTCATGTTCTACTTTGTGTGTGTTTGTGTGTGTGTGTGTATTCCCATACTCTTAGTCTTCAAATCTGGTGGTTAATCCTAATCCTTGGGATTTTTATTGAGGGACTGTTCTGTCTCGCCTTTCCTCTTTCCCAAAATATGAAAGAGTACAAACTCACACCAACACAGGCAGGCAAGCTCGCTCGGACTTCACAGAGTTAATTCTTTGGAACTGATAATATTCTTGACATTCTCACATGTCCTGCCTGCCAAGTCCAAACTGATAAAGTTTTACTCACAGAAAATCACAAGGCAGTCCACAAAAATAGTCATTCACGAAGAAAATCTGAAGGTTAAACTTTGTCCCGTACAATGTTTCAGGAGAAAACACACTCACTTTTATCCCCCGTGGGGTGTGGCTAAATGACTCAGCTCACTCTGTGACCCTCCCACGCCTCCTACATTACTGCTCACGTTTCTCCCTACGACGCTGTTTAGGATTGAGCCAACACTCTTCCTCTTTACTTCCTGTCAGGGGCTGCTCTGATATGCCTTCCTCCTGATTAATCTCAGGCTGTTCCTCTCGGTTGTCTGATGGAACCTGAGACACTATCAGGGAGGAAGGTCCTGGGGAGGAAGGCATTCCCAGTTCCTCCTCCTCATCTTCCAGGTCCTCTTCCTCTGACAGCATAGGCTTGGGAATCGGGGCCACAACAGGGTGTGTGTGTGTAATGACCAGATCAAAGTTGAATGCAACTTAAAACCCGCTATGGAGATGAGCTCAAGTCCTTCTAATGCAATTGTCTTATTTTCTTGGAAGTATTGTGAAAGTGTCTTCACCAGGATGTTTTGTGGGTTTTTGACAGTCCAGTCAGTCAGTGATGGTATTCTACCGGTTTGGCCTGGTTCTATCGAGCCGGTAGCGCCGATGAGCAGTGGAGACAAACCGGTTCTCTCCAATACTCTGCTGTTTGGCCCACCCATCCACCCGGTCTCTCATACTAACCTTTATTCCCTGCTTTTGAAGCGCACCTGCTTTGCACAGCACAGATTGCTGTGTGGTAGCTGCTGAAGCAACAGGGAGAATGCAGAATTGCAGGAGGTGAGTCAGCAACCCTCTGCGCCTGCGCAAAGTGCGCATTTGGCGTGTGCGTGCAAAGTGTGCGTGTGCACGCAAAGCGCGCCAACCAAACCAGTGGTGAAAGTGTTTGAAACGTACCACTGACTCCAGTCCACCCTAGAAATCCTGCGATGTCTAGGTGATTCCCCATCACTGACCTGCTTAGCTTTCAAAGTCAGATATAAGTTTTACCCAATGAGAATAATTAGCACAATTATGTGCCAATAGACATAAACTGGATAACTGGATGGTGACCACCAGATACAGATAACAACGGTAGTGGGGACAGCAATTCTGTTATAATCAATGGAGCTGTTAAGTGAAACATCACATGATCCTGCTGACTTATGACATCAGTTCTACTGCAATTGTTAAGCAAATCAACAACGTTCATCAAATGTGACTTCACATGATCATGGCTTATTTCTGGTTTCCTTACTGACTTTGCTTGTCGGAAGGTGTATATGAAGTTGGCAAAAGGCGCTCATATGAGGTGCTGTGGCTGTCTTAAATGTACACCGGTGTCGAAGCACCCAAAATCACACTCACACAACCGCAGAGTATCTGAGACAGCTGCAAAACTGAGGACTGGTTGCACATCTTTTTCAGCACCATCACAAGAGGCAGTTGTTAAGCTACAAACTACCTGAAAAGGAATCCAATTTATACCTGCAGAATCCATGCCTCATCTTTATACGCTTTCTTCTTTATCTTGACCTTGTAAATTTCCCTTTCAGCAGAGGGAAGGGAAAAACACTGAATTGATTTCTTGTAAGAGAGAGAAATGACTACAGTATTAGCATTCCAGATAGTGGCCAATTTAGCATTCATATAGAATGTCTTATCTGACAAGTGTTACTGACTTAATATAAAATATCATGATCCTTTGTGCTAAGTGTATGCTAATTTTATTTATTTATGCCAATTTACTCATTCAATTATTGAGGCACCCTAAGTAGTTGTGTTCAGCTTTCGTTGGAGAATACCCAGATGCTCATTACCTTGGTTTTTTTTTTAAACAAAAACAAAGCTTCAATGTGACTACACAATAAGAATTGCCATCAGCTGAAGCTGCAAAGCCACAGTAAAAAAATAATCGGAATGCCACAGAGCAAAAAATACAACTGGAGAACAGCTTTGTCTGGATAAATATCGCAAATTCTTTTCGCAGGAACCAATACAATATAATAAAACAGAATCACAAAGCTGTTTATCTAAACAGGACAGCAAGACATAAAATGGCATTGCTGTCTGATCTCTTACAGCAGGGGTGTTAAACTCAAGGCCCATGGGCCAGATCCAGCCTGTGGGATGCTTAGAACATGCCCACAGGGCCGCTGTGGAAACAGCAAAGAACTGACCCACAGTGCCTCTGCCAGCAAAAAGAGAGCAGGGGGGCACGTTTTCGCTGGCTGAGGGCTGCAGGAGGCCATTGTGGTCAAAAAATGGATGTCGAACTGGCCACGCCCCTCCTCGGCATGCCCCCCACCCCCCCAAGGTCAAACACAACCCTGATGCGGCCCTAAATGAAATAGAGTTTGACACCCCTGTCTTACAGGTAGTCCTTGACATACAACTATTCGTTTAGTGACTCTTCGAAGTTACCACACTGAAAGTGATTTACAGCCAGTCCGTACACTTACAACCAGTGCAGTATACCCATAGTCACATGATCAAAATGTAGGCCCTTGTCAACTAGCATGCATTTACAATGGTTGCAGCATCCGAGGGTCACATGTTCGTGATCTGTGGTCTTCCCAGCTAGCTTCCAAGAGGCAAAGTCAATGGGGAAACCTGGATTTGCTTAATGACTGTGTCAGGGCTCCGGCAGTTACCCCCATTTAAATCATGAGTCTCGAGCCAAATGTCAAAAACTTTAAAAGGATTTATTGGGAATTAACATGCCGGCACTGCGTGGGTGTAGCTGACTCTGAGACACATCATTCATTGTCACCCTTGACCCTGGTTTTCCCTCACCCCCTGGGGTGTATCGTAATTCATATTCTCCAATGGGACACATCCATAGCCAAGAGTCATCAATCATTCTCTCTAGTTAGAATTTTGCGCGGCAGAAACTTCAGTTACCTAGTTATTATCTTTGAAAACATTTATGGAATGCAAGCTGCAGCACTACTCCCCCCCTCCCTTTCTATTGGCAACTCGAAAAGACCATAGAAATATTTTATGAGTTGACAGACTATATGATTCACTTAACAAATGTACACCCATCCCCCCAAAAAAGCCATAAAATTTGACCTGGCTCAATTAGCCTCATTATTTAGCAATAGAAATTCTGGTTCCAATCATAGTCCTTCTGAGGTTGGTAAAATAAGGACCAAGGTTGTTGGAGGCAGTATGCTGACTCTGTAAACCGCTTAAGAGTGTGCTATAAAGCAGGGGACCCCAACCTTTGGGCTGTGGCCCACTACCTGGCTGTGGCCTGTTGGCCATCACGCTGCATGAATGGCTGGCCAGTGCGTGTGCATGCACAAACCTACTTGTGCTAGTGTCATTGCAAGCACTTGTCCTTCCCTTTCCCTCCAGGCTGCTAATCCAGAAAGGTTGCAGAACTCTGCTATAAAGCACTACGAAATCTATACTACAAAGAGGTATATAAGTCTAAGTGCTATTACTATTGCTATTAAGTATATAAAACCAGACTGTGAAACCAAGAGGATACTATAATGTCCTGAAGTACTAAATGGACCCATTTTCCGTGGTGTTTTCAGCTCCATCCCACCCAATTTATCCGACTTACACACACCATAAACAAATGGAAAGCTGATAATAACACAAGAGGTGAATTGTTTAGTCTATCATGCTTAACATTTAATACAAACTGGTGAGATTTTGTCTATTTTAAAGATGATATAATTAATACCCCTAATCTATGAAATACAAGAGTTTATCCAGGCAACTTACAAATTTAATTAACTCGATTAAATGGTACTCAATCATCATCAATCATCATCCGCACTCAATCATCTGCACTAAAACGATCCCCAAGTTCTCCTCTAAATGTCATGCTCAGTATCTCAGAATAATTTCTAGCATCCTGAGAAAAATGTCTACCTTGTTCAATAGCACGATTAAGCACATAGTCCTTTTGCCACAAAGTACATGTACACAAAGTACACTGAAGTTTTTTCTTCTCTTTCAAACTGGGAGGTGGCAAGACCAATATTAGGAGTACTTTATACTCTGTTCTGGAAAAATGGACACAACTCCCAGAAGAATTGTGACTCTGGGGCACTTCCAAATTCCCAGTTATTTCTAGATAAGCAAGTGCAGGTTGTGGTGGTGGTTGTGTGTTCTGTGTGCCAGGTGCAATGTTATATGGAAAGAGATGGCCTTGAAGCAGGATCTCATGCCTTCATTACTATTCACTTGGACCCAAGATGTTCGATATGGAGCTGGCTTTAAAGATTACTCAAAATCCAGAACCAATCCAGAACATAGTGTACTGTATAATGTGTACTGAATACTGGTATGTTGTAAATGAGTTCATTATAGCAATAGCACTTAGACTTTATAGCCTTTAAAATCCTCATTTTATTGACCTCTGAAGGATGGAAGGCTGAGTCAATCTTGAGCCAGTGAGAATCGAACTACCGAACTGCAGGCATCTGGCAGTCAGCAGAAGTAGCTTGCAGTACCACATTCTAACCACTGTGCCACCTGTGCTTCAGGTCCTTCACTGGCACTATTAGCTTCCTGGTTACAATCCACAAGTTTTTGCTAGTTTTGTTCTTTGGATTAAAGATAACTTAACACTAAGGTACTTTCATCAATGTCTTCCCATCGGCCCACCTGTTCGAAAGTCTCAGTACAATTTTTAAGGTGTCTGGGAGAGACTTGTAACTGTGCTTTTTCTGTGATGATCCACATGGTGGAAATGCTTGTTCTCCCCCATCCAGGGAATCTGGGCTTTCCCCAGAGACTTTCAGAGATGGGCTGATCCGAACAGACTGACTGATGATTGTGTGATCTTTTGTGTTGTTTTTAAATTCTTGTATTTCTAGTGTTTTGCCATAGATTTTACTGTGTTTAAATAAACGTGGTACATAGCATCACTTTATTAAACAAGTCAAATCTCTCTCTATAAAAGCGAAATACCACTCAAGCATCTTCACAAAATCTCCAGAACCGTAAAGCCTATAAACGTGAAATTTGACACATATGTTCCTCTTGGCTTCTAGGTGTTCACTAAGAAAGGATTTTTTGAAATGACCATCAGAGCATTAGTATTTCGTATATTATTATTAACACGCTTTGATGCTGAGTTCTACTCCCCCTCCCCACCTGAAAAGAAATCTCTTCCACATGCAAAACACAAGCAGGAGTTTCAGTTTCAGTTTTAGTTTCACAGCACCAAGCACTTTTAGTACAGAACTGTTGAGCTAAGCCATGCCCAGGCTCCTTGCTGTCTCCTTCTTACTCAAACAGCAAATACTGTTTCAGTTTCCAAACAGCCCTCAACTCTCTCACACACTGACGGGATGCTAGCCAGATGAATACTGATAGATGCTGGTAGGCAGAGGCAGATTTTTTTTCCCCTTATTTTCCTCCCCCAAAATTAAGTCCGATCATATATTTCGTTAGCGGAGCATGGGTATAGAGCTAGTAATGAAATAAATTAGAAAGTAAATATGTTTCTAATACAGATCCCAATAAGTCAGATGGAGTTAGAGATATCAATAATTCTAAGCACATAGTGCCTAAGAGCAAACCCAGCAAACATTCCTAAATTAAATACTTGTTAAAATGTGGTGTTTTTTTTAAGAAACCTTGTGTTTTAAGGCAATGTGACATAAACTTGCAAAATCTAGGGCATTTTTAATTCATAAAATATGTTTGAAGGTCACCTGAAAAAACTGCCATCTCATAAGCACAGGATAATTAGCAGTGCATTTGTTTCTTGCAAGATATGCAATATACCAGGAGAAGAAATGTAAGTGGATGGACAGCAATAATCACGTGCTTTTGTAGGTGATTTTTTTCTTTTTAACTAATATGAGGAACAATTTTGTCAATACAGCAACATGCAATACACATGCTATCATCTATATGGAATTTATCCATGAATCATCAAAGAAAAAGATGAAGTTGACATTATATATATATATAAAAATATATATATAAAAACACCTTGTAGCTAAGGAAGCAGATGTTTAATCTTACAACTTCTCCCTAAGTACAAGGATGAGCCCATCAGAAGTCTTTATATTTTACAGGCTTGTTGCAAAAAAAATAAATGCAGCTTAGAATCATTTACATAAAGGCAAACAGTGCTAAATTCTTTTTCTTTCTTTGGTGTATACGAATCGCTCATCCCATTCAACATTCATTCTATTAAATTAGAGCCAAAGATCTCTCCCTTTTCTGCTGTTTCTCAAAAGCTCTTTATAGAGAGTTTGGACAGCCAGACAGGTTGCACCGTGACCAGCCAATCTACAGGGATCTAAGGTATACAAAATTAAAACAGTAAATTTTAACAGCAGCAGAAACTTGAGAAAATACCCAGTTCTGGCATTCCCCTTTTCTGTCTTTTATGCAGGATGTTAATACAGATGAAGTAGTTCAATCTTTTTTTTTAAAAAAAAAGAGTACTACAAAGACCAGCTTCAACACAATACTTGTTGAAGATCGAGCTGTGCATAAGCACCACATGCAAATTGTATTTAGTTTTAAACATAGTTATTTAGCTTAATGCCCGAATGAGTACATTATGTGAATTCGGGCATACTGTCACAATAATTCTAAGGTCCCCAAAGTGATATCCACCCTTGCAAGTCTCACTAGATGGCCCATTCCTCAAATATTTAGAAACAAAATGTAAAACAAGGGACAATCTTCCATAATAATCTTTTTCCTAAAAAAAATGTGTTCATTGTGTATTAGAAAATCTAGTACAGCAGCACAGATATGCTCCAGGTCATGTCAGCTTTTCAATCATTGTGTCCACACTATGAAACCTTCTGCCTCTCGATGCTAAGATAGCATAGCAATAGCATTTAGGTGTATATACTGCTTCACAGTACTTTACAGCCTTCTCTAAGCAGTTTACAGAGTCAGCATATTGCCCCCAACAATCTGGGTCCTTGTTTACCGATCTCAGAAGAATGGAAGGCTGAGTCTCTGGGATTAGCCGGGCAGTGCTCATTGGAGGAGATGTGCCTATGGGAGGTTGTCCAGAAACAGCCTACCTGGGCTGGGTAGGTAAGTCCAAGGGCCCCAACAATGGACTTGGGTCCTGATCAGATTGTTGTGTTGTAGCCATCTTGTCTGCCTCCCTGGCTCATTTCTGCAATTTCCAAAGCTAGGTGCCATCTATGGGCATCCTTATCCGCCGCCTTAGAGGCCTTTTGGGGGCCCATTGGCTTATCTCGGGACTTATTTGTCTTGCAGCGGAAAGCGTTGTCACCTTCCATTGTGGATGACAGATTCTCTTGCCTCTGACTTTAATTTTTAATTATTTTTAAAAATTATTATTATTATTGTTGTTGTTGTTGTTGTTGTTAT